GAGCAGGAAAGGAGGTGAAAGGAGATAATTTTAGAGAAGAAAATTTTTCGGTCGCTACCCAGATTCTAACCCTGGACCTTTGAATGAGAGGCCAACACCTTAACCTCAAGGCCACGAAAGCCCCCCTACTAAAAATGGATTTGGCACGGCCACCTAATCCAGTCCGGTGTCGACACTGGCCTCCAGCAGGCTGATTATGGCCTTTTAAGTCGCTTGACTGTTGTAATGAATAATAAAACAAGGCTATGCCTACCTTCTTGGCAAGCTGGCCATTGAAGCGTGTATTGGTATACCTACTGTAATATTATAGTATCAGATTACTCAACCGTTTTTCTTTTTCAATCTAATCTTGTGTGTGTTATGTATTATCTGTCTCGGGATTTTTGCAGCTCTCAGATCTGCTGCTAGATACAAACCAGACACATGGTTTAGCCTGTAGTTTGTAGTCTAGTAGAGTTGTGACCCAAGTTATGTTTGAGAGCGGGGTTAAAAAGGAAAAAAAACGGGCGTTTCAGCAAGCAGTAATCACATCACAGAATTGGGAAATGAACAAGAGGTGTTATGAGCCATCCAAGAGCATGTAACTGGAGGAAAGTCTAATAAAAATGTATTATCTCACATGAAAACATGTCTAATGTCTTGGACATCAGAGATTACTCACTTCCACAACCCTGGATAGGCACCAGGCGTATGAAACCGTGATTACAAGTCACACATTGAGTTCTGTTGATATTATACTGGGCTACTGTGAGGATTGAATTCTAGAACACCTGTTCTCCTCAGCCGTCCCCTATGGACAGCTCCCACTATCTACATAATTCAACAACACAAAAAACAGTCACTGCAGTGGAACCCACAGGGAGCACGAGGCAGAGGTAGGCAACGGGAAATGTGGAGGAGATGCGTGGAAAGGGACATGAGCGAGATGAAGCTCACTTGGAACGAGCTTAGAAGGGTGGCCCAGGACGGAGATAAATGGAAGAAGCGTGTATGTGGCCTATACCCTGCCAGGGGTGAAAGGCAGTGATGCCGATGATAATGGTGAGGATAATCTTCTTTCGAATCCCCGGTGTAGCGTTGTTAGGGATGTTATCAAGGCTTTCTGCCTCCTTGATTCCATTTTAGATGGATGTTAAATACGGAAGTCCCGCCTAACTGTGTTGAAAGGGGCTTAAGACACTCACTGCTGCTTCACATCTATTCGACACCGATAGTAGGACGTGATAAGTAGAATACATTGGGGCTGCAGTGGTTGTGTGGTTAGTGAGCTCAGGTCTGCAATAATGCCAAGCGTTTGTCGGTGACTCGACGTTATTTTTTGTTGTTGTTGTAATTGTTGTTGTCTTGCTTTTGTTTTTGTGAGGGTTTCACGGCGCTCACAACTGGATAAGGTCATTTGAGCGTGCAGGAGACATTACACATTTTCAGTCTTCTTAGTATGAATTAATTTTGAATTTTGTCGGGTGGCAGCTGAAGCCTACAGTTATCGATTTTGGACCACCGCGGTATCTTTAACGTGTGCAACTTGCACTTAGGACTTCCATTATTTTTCGCTCTTATCCTGGAAGGCTAGGTGTTAGATCTTACCTACCCTAAGAGAGGGATGTGGCTGAAAGACAGCAGTACTAGTAAGAAGGGGCCAAGCAGTAGAAAGACTGCAGAAAGAATCAGGGGCCCAGAGGAGGGGGCAAAGGAGGTAAGGGGTGGGGACAGAAAATGGAGGCGAAAGCAAACTATTGAACATGGTTAGAGAGCAGGAAAGGAGGTGAAACATTTTAGAGAATAAATGTTTACATCGCTGTCAGGCTTCGAACCCGGAACCTTTTGAATGAGAGGCCAACACCGTAGCCTCTGGACCACGTGAGCCCCCGCCCCAAACACGGCGTTTGAGTGGGTCGTCACTTGGATGTGTTCTTGAACAAGATACGATAACCTTAGCTCTAAAAGCAAGGCGCTACACAATGACAACTAGCTATGGTATGTGCATTTTCTATGTTTGCGGCAGTGTGTGTAATAGGCTACATGCATTTATGTATTAATGTATTTGTGTTTTATGTACACCACTGTAAAATATATTTCCCAAGTGGATTAACAAAGTAGAGTTTATTTGTTTATTTTACGCTAGGAAACGTAATCCAGCAGGTTCAATCTCTAGTATACTATTAAAGGACGTGTTGTCCCTGGGATCACAATCGTCCCTGTATTTTCTGCAGTTCATGCAGTTGAAAGCGATTAACAGAGCAATCGACAGGGGCAGTGTGTAAATACCAACCTTTGAACAAGGCACAGGTCGCCAGGCAGTGTTTCCCTTGAGAGATGAGACAGTAAAATAGTAATTCCAAAAGGTTTTATTGTAAATTAGTCTAAAGTAGCGAGCGCTTTGCATTGAACGGCCTACAAAATTATTAAGCATCACTTAATCACACTCACAAACCGTGGTTCCTGACGTTTATCCTGCTATGCACCGCCCGCCCCTTCCCCTACTTCTGCAATATCGAGTTACCGAGAGAAGGTTTTTCCATGGCTGAAACTAATTTTGGCAAATAAATTATGCGATCCTGTGAGTTGAACTACGGCGACGGCGTGGATATTGATCTCCGGAAGGTAGAGTGGTCACAGAACTGATCGCTGGCTGGGGCCTAATAGCCTGTGTGCCGTGCGGTCTAGAAATGAGAAGCACAGGCTAAAAGAGTCTCGACAACGAAGAATCGTTAAGAAGCTCAGGGAGCTCGCAGTAAGTAAGCCAGGATCCTTCGTTGCGAAATTGTAGTCCAATAAGTATGCCACTGACCGGGCGATAAAGTTGTGAGAACTTTCACCGCAGATGCCAACGTCTGGAACTGTTTCTCAGTGCAAACCGTTGCATGTGGATCTACAGAGATTATAGAAGACGAAAGGGGAAAAGTAAAAGGTGACCAAGCGATTAGAAGCCGACTAGTTCATCACTCTGATCTCTGATTTCTTCGGGATACAATCCGTCTCTGCTATTGACAGCACCTTCGGTACGCCAATGGATTAGTAATAATGTATCAAAACATTTTTTTTAATGTGGTGACAGATTTTTGGATTCCTACACAACGACAGTATATATACATTAGTGTTTCTTGTGTTAAACTCTTCTGATGTTTTATGTTAATATACTATAAAATGCATAGAGCTTGCTGTCGAGTGGGGGTATGCGCTATACAAATGCTTATTATTATTATTATTATTATTATTATTATTATTATTATTATTATTATTATTGTTATTATTATTATTATTATTACTATTAATATTATTATTATTATTTATTATCATTATCATTATTATTATTATTATTATTATTATTATTATCATTATTATTATTAAATTATAATTGTTATTATTATTATTATTGTTATTTTTTATTATTATTATCATAATCGTGCTAGATTTTCTTTTGCCGGGAATACAAGGAAAGTGGACAAGATCAAACGAATCGGAGACCACTCGGTTTGTTTTTTTAATTTCTTTTATGTCTGTCGGTCATTCTGTTTTCGTTAGCTTTATCTGTATTTCAGAGGGTGCTGCAGTTCTACAATTCATGATACCTTCATTAACTTTTTTTGTTGGGTAATGGGCGCTCTGGTGCTCCTCCTTTTTATTTTTTGTACCTGCCTATTGTCCTACTCTGTTCCTTGGGATTGTGGCAGAGTGCGTTCTAAGACACCGTAACTAAGACACCGTAAATCACAATAATTTCATATGAACATAGAGTTGTTCTACAGCAGAGGGCCCCAAACTAGGTCTAAGGCCCCCGGGCCAGATCTAACCCGCAAGATCAGTTCGTCAGGCCCACCGTCATGCCACCATGCAGCCATGTGTGGCTTTTTTTTAGCGTGCTCGATCAGGATTAAGCCACCATTCCATTTAACTATCATCATCATCATCCAGTGCCAAATCTGCGACAGACATCGGCGATCATGGTTCTCCATTCATCTCTTTGCTCGGATGCTCTAAAAAAAGCTACGGTTCCCTGATCTTTCCCTGCTACCCATTTGTTTAGGTTCCCTAACTATGTTGTTCTGAGCCTATCCCTGCCTCGCCTGCCAGTGAGAGCTAGATGTTTAAGACCCTTATATCTATTCAGGTGTCCCAAAAACTGCATTTGTCGTCTCCTGATTGTTTTTAACATTGGGCGTCCCACGTGGGCTTCATCAAGCACTACCTCCTTTGATTTCTTTTCCTTCCAGGATACTCTAAGCAGTCTCCTAAGAAACCACATTTCTGTTGCTTCTATTTCATTGAACTATACTCTGCAAATAAAACATGTTTTCACTGACTTCATAACCTCCAGGGGCTTTGAACATCTTGCTCTCACTGGAAATATAGAAGGCGAACGGGGGCAGGGGCAGACCACAGAAACTTATTTGGAAAAAACTGAAAGGATGGATAACGATAATGAGTTGTTTTATTTAGAGCATTCGAGCGGATGATTGTTTCATAACGGGCACTTTATGATGATGGTAATTTCCAACCAATTATACTCTTTTTTACCTTCAATTTAAATGTGAACAATTTATCATTCAACACGTCTGCCACAAACAGGAGTTCCCCCATACGTCCCGGTCGCATAAACCTTTGGATTCCGCTAATGAGGATTGGTGTCTTTTGTGTGTGTGTGTATTTTGTATTATTGTGTAGGGAAAAATCAAAAGGTTGCTTATCTTCATCTTTTTTATACATATTGAATTATTATGTATTGTACAAAATAGCTGTCCAACCGAGTAATAGGAGGAGGGAGAGGAGGAAGAGGATGAGGATGGGGATGAGGAGGAGGAGGAAGAGGAGGAGGAGGATGGTGAGGAGGAGGAGGAGAAGGATGAGGAGGGGGGAGGAGGAGGAGGAGGAGGAGAAGGAGGTGGAAGAAGAAAAGACGGAGGAGGAGGAGGAGGAGGAGGGGAGGAGGAGGGGGAGGAGGAGGAGGAGGAGGAGGAGGAGGAGGAGGAGGAGGAGGAGGAGGAGGAGGAGGAGGAGGAGGAACAGAAGAGGCGAAGAGAAAAAAATAAGAAGCTGAGAAGGAGCAGAAAGAGAAGAAAAAAATTAAAAGGAAAATATTTTATACTTGCAGGTTCTGCTCTTGTTCTGAGTCGAATCTACATTGAAACATGGGGGACATGAAGCATCAGAACAGTGTGCTTGCTGCAATAATGGAAAAAGAAAAGGTAGTGCAAATGTATATTCTCAGGATCTTATGGGTGTGTCTTGGGTCTTTTTCGTCTTTCGAACTGGTCAGAGGCACATCCCCCCTCCCCCATCTGTCTGTCTCTCGGTCTGTCTGTCCGTCTGTCTGTCCTCTCTTTCTCCCTCTCTTCCCCCCCCCCCCCACCCTCTCTCTCTCTCTCTCTCTCTCTCTCTCTATATATATATATATATATATATATATATATATATATATATATATATATATGTATGTATATATATATATATATATATTTAGGAAATGTTTTAATCAAGGCGCCTTATGCAACGGGATGACTGTTGAGGTGATGCGTTCGTTTCTTGCGAATGTTTCAAGAAAAAGAAAACTGCCACCAATTAAATAATTACGCAAAATGGATAATCGAAAAACACCTTAGAGGTTCAGAAAAAACTGCATCTTTGAAATTTGATTTTGTTCAGTATCTGGCGCTGTATTGTTATATAGCATAGTACGAAAACAGGTGCTTTTGAAGAGATACTGAGAGAGAAAACAATTTCATACCAGTACAAATTATTTACATGAGAATGTTGTACTACGTTAAAATCTAGCAGATCTATCGTTGATTTTAAAAAACGTTTATACGCTTCTGAATTGTTACCAACTGTACTACACAATATGTAATAATATAATATAATATAATATAATATAATATAATATAATATAATATAATATAATATAATATAATATAATATAATATAATATAATATAATATAATATAATATAATATAATACAAAATAGTATAATTATAATATATAATATAATATAATGTAATGTAATTTAATATGCTAAAATATATTATAATGTAACCTATAAGCTACATATTATATTTGTGAAAGTTCGTCACTTTGGCCGCTTAAAACTTCCGAACCACTTAGCTTCCGAATTTGAGAAAATTAATGATGGTTCAGAATCATTTAAATGGTGCACAGTTTCATTGGGGAGCCTGAAATCACTGTAGTTTAATTTTCAGTTTTTCATTAGTATCGTTTAGATCTAATCTTGGGAAAGTCCGTCTTCTAAGACGCCATTGTAAACAAGTGAAGTTTCCGTTCACTAGCCGTGCGCACTGTTCCACACCTTTGAAATTCTGGAGTGTACAACCACAAAAGACGAATAGATAATCAATCTATACATTTATTATATTATTTGGCAACTTGGAAACACATATGTCCCTTTTCTCTCAAGATTTATTGCTCCATTCCAGTAGAGTGTAAATATAGTAGGCCAATGACTTTCAGTTGATGTTAATGCACCGATCATTCCTTTCATCGAAAGGGGGCCCAGCTAGTGCAGTATAATGTAAAATAATGTAATATAATGAAATGTCCATGTCTACTTTTCCAGAGGAAAGTGATGATCAAAAGCGTGTTTTTGAAGATAGAAGACATCGACACAATACAGGAGACTTTCAGTGGACTTGTCTTCGTCAAGGCACGCTGGCGTGAGCCCTTGCTGGACAGTTCTACCTCCAGGGTGAGTTTACTCGAGACTAGACCCGCACCTTTAGGAGGAAGGGGGGGGGGTACACCTGAGGGCTATCTCTCTTATTTGTGGATCCAATTTTACCAAGTTTCGCACATATTATTATAATAACAAACATAGCGAGGAGTCTTCAAATCCGGAATCAAATTTTAGGGGGGAAAAATTCATTGACATGGAGACAGGGGCCAAATGGGATTTTGTTGACATGTCTTATACAGTTAATGCCTTACTTATTTTCTATGGAAATAGTTCGTTATTTTGCTTGAATTTTAGCAATCAATAATTCTACGAAATGGTAGTTTCCAAGGTTGAAAAAAAAACCCACAGCAGTGAAAGTCCACACTCCAGACGCCACCAACCAATTTCTATTCCATATATTGAAATAGACTAGTTTATAATGTTACATTTTCTTATCATTCGGTGAAAATTTCATGAAGATGGGGGAAAATCAGCAGAATTATTCAAAAAAGTGTGTGTGTGTAT